CAAGGGGTGAAGGGAGTCATATATATGGTGATGGACAAACAAAAATGTACAACCCCAAATTTCACAATGTTAGAAACCATTAAAACATCAATTAAAAAAAAAAAAAAAAGAAATGAAGAGAACCAGAAATACTAATTAAGAAAGTTAATATAAGAAACTCTAGTAATATGTACTTGTTTTTCCTCTCCTCTCTCAGCTTCTTTAAAAATATAAAATATAAATACAGGGTTAAACATAATTTATTTTTATATTTGTAATATATATAAATGAGAAGTGTGTAACAATAAAAGCACAACATGAGCAGAAAAGAATAGAGCTATATGGTAATAAAGTTTCTATATCTCATTGGGATTAATTTAGTATGAATTTGAAGTAGTTTCTGAGAAGGTAAGATGCATATTGTAAGCCCTAGAGCAATCATTTATAAATAGCTGGAAAGATATTGTTAAATTATTAAAGGAATCAAAATGTTACAATAGAAAATATTCACTTAATTGAAAAGAAGGCAGTAAGGAGAAACAGAGGAACAAATAAAATGTGAGACATATAGAAGAAATAAAATAAAATGACAGATGTAAATCCAGTCTTAGCAATAATAGCATCAAAGATGAATGAATTGAACAATCCAAAGACAGAGATTGTGAAACTGAATAAAAATAAAAATCCACTACACTTACATAGTAACTATAGGAGATACATTTTAGATTCAAATTACAAATAGATTAAAAGGAAAGTGATGGAAAAAAATATCAACAGCATAAAAAAAATGAGAGAGTTGGGGTGACTATATGAAGCTCCGATAATTGACTTGAAAACAAAATGTTCCCAGAGATAAGAGGGACATTTTAGAATTATAAATGACTGGTCTATGATCAAGAAAACTATCATAAGCATATACGCACCTAACACTGGAGTTTCCAAATACATGAAACAAAAATGGCAGAAGTGAAGGGAGAAATAAGACAATTCAATGAAAATATTTGGAGACTTCAATATTCCACTATTGAGAATGGATAGAACAGTTAGAGGATCAACAAGAATAAAGAAGAGTATAAACCAACTCTACCCAGAAGACATTTATAAAACACTATGCCCAACAAACACAGAATACACATTCTTCTCAAAAATACATGAAACATTTGCCGGGATAGACAATATGCCAGATATAATCTAAGCTTCAATAAATTTAAAAAGATTGAAATCATACAACGTATGTCCTCTGACCACAATAGAGTGAAATTAGAAATCAATAACAAAAGAAAATTTGGGAAAGTCATATGTTGAAATTAAACAGCACACACCTAAATAACCAAAGGGTCAAAGAAAAGATCCCAAAGGAAATTAGAAAAAAAATCTCTGAGAAGAACAAAAATGAAAGTACACATGACAGAACTTATGGAATTCAGCTAATACAGTGCTTAAAGGAAAATTTACATCTGTGAATACCGATATTAAAAAAGATCTTAAATCAGTAACCTGACATTCCACTTTAAGAGACAGAGAAATAATAGTGAACTAAATCCAAAGTAAGCATAAGGAAGGACATAACTGAGATTATAGTGGAGATAAATAAAGTATAGAATAGGGAATACAATACAGAAAAATCAGTAAAACCAAAAGTTGATCTTTGAAAATATCAATAAAATTGACAAAACTTTCACTCGACTAACAAAAAGAGAAGACTCAAATTATTAAAATAAGGAATGAAAGAGGGAATATAACTGATTTTACTTTTGTAAGGTTGATAGTTGCTAGAGAATACTATGAACAAGCAGATACAAACAAATATGACGTTTTGATAAAGTGGAAAAATTCGTTAAAACATGAACAACTGGAGCTGACTCAAGAAGAGAGAAAATCTGGATTGACCTATAACAAGTAAAAAGATTGAATTTAATAATTAAATAACATATATATAAGGAAAAGCACAGGCCCAGATTGCTTCACTGGTAAATTCTACCAGACACTTAGAGAAAAATTAATTCTAATCCCTTAGAAACACTTCCAAAAAATAGAAGTGGTGGGAATACTTCCCAACTCACTCTATGAGGCCAGCATTATTGTGATACCAATAGCAGACAAAGGGATCAGTAGAAAACAATAGGCCATATGCTTTATGAATATAGATGCAAAATTCCTCAACAACAAAATACTAACCAACTGACTCCAACAATGTATAAAAAGGAACCAAAGGCACATGTGTATGTGTTTGTAATGACCAAGTAGGATTTATCCCAGGAATGCAAATTTAAAATCCGTAAATCAATCAATGTAATGCACCATATCAATAGAATAAAGGACAAAAATACACATGATCATCTCAATAGACACAGAGAAAGCGTTGACAAAACCCAACACAATTTCACAATAAAAACACTCAACAGACTTGGAATAGAGGGGAACTTCCTCAAAATGATAAAGGACATCTGAGAAACACCTATACCTAACAGCATACCTAGTGGTGAAAGATTGAACACTTTCCCATTATCATCAGCAAATAGAAGTGGCATGAGCAGGTGTCACTCATGCCACTTCTATTTAACATTGTACTAGACATTCTAGCCAGGGTGATTTGGCAGGAAAACAAAAAGCATCAAGATTGGAAAAAAAAGAAGTAAAACTCTATTTGTAGATGACATTATATTGAATATAAAATATCCTCAAGAATCCACTGAAAACCTATTAGAAGTAATAAGTGACTTCAGCAAAGTTGCAGGTTAAAAGATCAATATAGGGAAAACAAATTGTACTTCTAAAGACTAGCAAGGAACAAATTGAAAATGAAATTAATAACAGCTCTGTTTACATTATCCTCAAAAAGAATATAATATTTAAGAATAAACTTAACCATGTGTGGAAGACTTGTACAGTAAATACTACAAACTATTGCTGAGAAAAATTATAGAAGATCTAAATAAATGAAAAGATATCCCATGTTCATAGATTGGAAGACTTAATATTGCTAGGATGGCAATATCCCCCAAAGCAGTCTACAGATTCAATACAATTTTAATAAAAATTTTAGCGTCATTTATTTTCAGGAATTGACAAGCTGCACCTAAAGTTAATATGGAATTGCATGGGATCCAAAGTAATCAAAATAATCTTGAGAAAAGAACAAATTTGGAGGACTCAAAAGTCCCAATTTCAAAACTTATTACAAAGCTAGTGTAATCAAGAGCACTTGTGTAAGTGTAGACATAGATGTTTTTGGAGTTGACTTGAGAGTCTGAAAATAAGCCTTCACGTTTTGGTCAATTGATTTTGACAAGGGTGCCAAGACAATCGGTTGGAAAAGAATTTTCTTTTCAATTAATGCTGCTGGGATAACTGGATATCCAAATACAAAATAGTGAATTTTGATACCTACTTCATACCGTATGCACTAAAAGCATCATAGAATAAAACATAAGAACTAAAACTCTTACAGGAAAACATAACGGTAAATCTTGATGACCTTGGGTTAGGTAATGGTTTCTTAGATATGACACCAAATGCAAAAATGACAAAAGAGAGAATAGGTAAATTGATCTTCATCAAAATTAAAAACTTTTGTGCTTAAACTCACCATCAAGTAAGTTAAAAGACAACCCAAAGAATGAAGAAACAAGATTTGAAAATCTTCATCTGATAGACTTGTATCCAGACCATATAAAACATTTTTACAACTCAGCAAAAAGACAAAAAAGTCCAATTAAAAATGACAAATGATCTGAATAGATATTTCTCCAAAGAAGATATACAAATGGCCAATAAGTATGTGAAAAGATGCTCAACATAATTATTAATTAGGGAAATGCTTTGGCAACCATGAAATGCCACTTCACACCTCCTAGATTTGTCTATAACGAAAAAGACAGACAACAACGTGTTAGTGGAGATGAGGAGATAATGGATCACTTACATATTGTTTGTGGAAATGTAAAATAGTTCAGCTACTTTGGAAAATAGTTGGGCAATTCCTCCAAATGTTAAGCATCGAGTTACCATTTTACTCCTAGGGATATATCAAAAAGAGTTAAAAACAGGTGTTCAAACCAAAAGTTTTACACAAATGTTCATAGCAGTGTATTCACAATAGCCAAAAGATGTGAAACGACCCAAATGCCCATCAACTGAATAATCGATGAATAAAATGTATATTCATACAATGGAATATTATTCAGTCATAAAAAAGAATGAAGTATTGATATATGCTACCACATGTTGAAAGATTCCTTTTGTGTGAAACGCCCACAATACGTAAGTTCATAGAGACAGAAAGTAAATTCGTGGTTTCCTAAAGCTGAGAATAGAAGGAGGAATGGGGAGTAGCTGCTAATTGGTATGAAGTTTCTTTGCAGGGTGATGAAATTATTCTAAAATTAGATGGTGCACAGCTCTGTGACTATGCTAAAATCCCTTGAATTGTACATTTTAGGTAAGTGTTTTATGGTTTGTGAATTATATCTCATTACCTTCTGGGGTCAGCACGCAAATCTGCTGAGCTAGGTGTCCAGGATCACTGAGTCATCAAAGAAAAGCAATTGGGCAAAAAGCAGTCAGCTGCCACAGCTCATACACTAGCAGCCAGGGAATGAGAGCCATGCAGATTCCAGTGGTGGATATAGGAGATCCAGTTACATCATTTTATATAATGTTTCCTCTTCTGGTATTGCACTTTTAAAAATGAGATGCCTGTGCTGCTGTCCAGAAAGAGCTGTGCTTTGGGGTGTCAAAAGGAGATAGACGGGCATCAGAAAGGATGGCTGAATGCCGTCTAATTGGATCATTCAGCATCGGACAGAATCAGCCTTTTGACAATTAGATCAGCCTTCAGAGTTTTACAACTGAATTGTAAAACTGGATTGGAATCAGTAACCTGAAACATGTCTTTTATCATTAGACTTCACCACCACCCTCCTCCCGTTTCTAATTTGTTTCCAAACTTGAAGGGAGCTATGGCAGATTGGTAATCCACTTAGCAGTTTAAAAACAGTAAAAGAAGAGAAAGGGAAAAAAAAAATAGTGGCTGGAGCTAGAGACATAGGAAGGCTAGACTAGGCTGGATGTCCAAGGTGGTTTACTCACATGGTTGATAGCTGATGCCATCTGTCAGCTGGAAACAGCTGTGGCTGTCGAGCAGAGCAGTACACGTGGCCTCTGTATTTAGCTTGGGCTTCTCACAACATGACACACATACCAGTCTATCTGCATGTTTACCTTCTCTCAGCAAAGTGTCCATATGCCTTCACCTTTGGTATGGTTCAGTCAATCTCAGTCTCGGTCTTTCTCTTGCCACCCTCCTATCCCGAATAATTCCCAATACCATGCAAAGAAACTCTAGAACAAAAACAAATGTTTTCTTAGTCCGCACTCCAGCTATTGCCCCATCTTTCTCTTGATTGCAGCTACTCTTCAAATGTATCTTATAAATTAATTTTATGTTTTTATCTAAGCATAGCATAACTCTTAGCAGTAAAGTCTGGAGTCTGACTGACCACCTGTGGTTATTGTAACATGTACAGAACTCACAGAGTCTTACCTTCTGATCCTTCAATTTCTGTTTTCCTTTTCATTCTCTTATATCAATGGTCAGGAAAACAAGTACTATGTTAAAAAATAATGATAAGTATCATCTTTGACTCGTTCCTAATTTTAAAGGGAATGTATCTCAAGTTTGTCCATTAAGCATGATTCTTGCTGTTGACTTTTCAAATATAACTACTTATCATTCAGAAGGTTCTCCTTGATTCAAATTATTAGAATTCTACAATTGAGATACTTATCTTTCTCCTTTAAAGTCTAATGTGGAGAGTTAGATTTATAAATTTCAAAATGTTGAAACTATAGAATTTATGATGCATTCCTGAGAAAAACTCTACTTGAAAATGTTTCTTTTTTTTTTTCTTGTCTTGTTTTTTTTTTGTTGTTGTTTATTGCAGTAACATTGGTTTATAACATTGTAAAAGTTTCAGGTGTACATCATTGTACTTCTATTTCTGCATAGATTACATCATGTTCACCACCAAAATACTAATTACAACCCATCACCACACACATGTGCTGAATTGTTTCTTAAATATCATTGAATTTAACTAAGATATGATTTCTAGGTTTATGAATGAAGTAAGCCTTCATAAAAACAATTTTATTTTAATATCCTTAAAGTGTTCTGGAACCAAGGTTGTATACTAGCCATGTAAAATGAATTGTCAGCCTTCCTTTTGTTAAATATGATTTATTTCTGACCCTTATTTATTTTTTCATATACTATATTTCTTGTTTCATTTTTGCTCATTTACTGCCTTACATCATACAGATAAAATATCTTCTGCTGGTGGAAGCTTAAATAACTTATGTTTATTGTTCTCATTCTTATGTCTAAAATATATATTTATGCTTTCCTAACAATTTTATTGTACCACTTCTATATCCGTCCCTAAGTAAAACAAGTACTTTATCACACTCACAAATTCTTATGGTATCTATACCCACTCACCACATATGTTCTCCATTAAATGAGGCCCATGTAAGGACCAGGACATGGTAGGATTTTTATTTTTTAATTTTTATTTTTAAGTTGGTAGGGATAGATTGAATAACTTTAAAAGGGGAGTAATATAAACACATTTGTGTTTTAGAAAGTTCAAGCTTATGGCAATGTTATAGATTGTTTCAGATGATAAAAAACTCAAAGCAAGGATTTTGGGCATTAGGTTTTTCTAACAGTCAAGGAAAAATAATGGTGGAAGCCTCAATTTAGGCAGTGGCAGACAGTGTGGAAAAGAGAGAAATGTTGAGAGAAAGATTCAGAAGACTTGGAGATGGTGGCAGTGTTGAATGATATGGTGGTACCAGAAAGCTGGTTTGAAACCTTTCTTTTTCTGTCCTTTTTCCTTCATTAATATTTCTTTTACGCCCTCATGCCCCTCCCACTTTCCCTGCCACACACATATACACTCATACACATACGCACATTTGGTTTTGACATTTTTCATCCTGAATTATCAAGGTGGCAAATCCATTTTGCCTTTTGCCTTAGTATGTATAAACCTGGTTCCAAACATGAGCGATATTAGGAAGTTATCTTAGTAGACATTAAGGAACAAGAATTTGTTTCCTAAGAGATATTTTTCTCAGTAAGGCCTATATTCCCATCATCTGCTTTTGGCAAATGCTTGTTCTTATAGTTTTGTCTTTTTGAGAATGTCATATAAGTGAAATTAAACAGTATATAGCCTTTTGAGACTGGCTTCTTTCACTAAGCATAATACATTTGACATTCATCCACATTGTTGGGTCTATCAATATAATTCTTTATTTCTGAGTTCTGCTCCATTGTATGGATGTACCACCATTGTTTTATCCATTCCCCAGATGAAGGGACATGGAGTTGTTTCCAGTTTGGGACCATTACAAATAAAGCTACAATAAATATTTGCATGCAATTTCTTGTGTTTTCATTTCTCTAGAGTAAATACCTTGAGTTGGATTGCTGGGATGTTTGGTAAATATGTGTTTAACATTCTCAGATACTGCTAAACTCTTTCTCCAAGTAGCTCTACCATTTGGCATTTCCATCAGTGTGTGCAAGTTGCAGTTGCTCCACATCCTTTCTAGCACTTGGCATTGTCCAGTTTTTGACATTAGCTGTTCTAGTAGGATGTAGTAGTATCTCATTGTGGTTTTGATTTGCATTTCCCTACTGACTAATGATTTGAGCACATTTTCATGTGCTTCTTTGCCATCCATATATCTTCTTTGGCAGAGTGCTCAAATCTCTTGTGCAGTTTGTATTGGGTTGTTTGTTTTATTATTGTTAAGTAGTGGGAATTCTATATTTGTGTTGAATATAAGTTCTTTACCAGATACAGTTCACCTTCCGGATCCATGTGTTACTATGTTTATGATCTGCGGTTGGTTGAATCTGCAGATGGGGCACCCACGGATACAGAGGGCCGACTAAGGGACTAGATCATCCACGGATTTTGGTATCTGCAGGGGACGCCTGGAACCAAACCCCCACGGATACTGAGGGACGACTGTACATACTTTGTAACATTTTTTCCCGTTATGTTGAACACAACTATTTAAATGATAGTATTGTTCAGAGATACAGTGTAAACAAGGAATAGGCAGTTTAGAGGACATTAATTCATTTGGGGATATTCTGAGTTTTTAATACCTGAGGGCATATGGTCTAGAGCAAATAGTTTGGGCTAGAAGTATAGTTTGAGGATTTCTCAAAAAATAGGTGGTAATTAAAATGAGTATTGATGAAATCTAGGGAGACAGTTTTGAGTGAGGAAAGGAGAAAATAAAGGACAAAGAGTCATGAGAGAGATTTCTATCTAAATAAAAGTAGAGGGAGAAGTCAATAAAGGGACCAAGGAAAAGTAACCAGAAGGGCAATAAATTAGGCAACAGGGGGGTACAGAAAGAAAAAGGAAGAGAGCGTTTTAAGAAGAAGAGAATAACCAACTAAAGAGGCAAATGCTAAAGTGTTGTCACATATCATGAGAGGAAAAATAGTACATTGTATTTTCTACGTAGGAGATCATTGTTAAATTCAGTATATTTAGTTTAATACATAGCATCAAGATCAGAAGCCAGATTGTAATGGGTTGAGGGGGCTATTGTTTAGAGAACTTTGGGTGTGAAAGGAAAGACTGAGAGAAGGCTTAGGAAGTTTGCAAAACAGAAAGGGCATTTTATCCTGGAGTGTAAGATATATGGCCAAGTTTAAAGTCTTAAAGATGGAGGCAACAGAGGAAAATTTACTATAAAGGTAAATAATCAAGCTTAAGCATGAAGTACCAGAAGGGGGCCTTAACAAAATGTTTCTTTGCTCATACGTGTTTGTAAAAGATGAAAAAGTAAGATATCATAATACAGTATTAATACTGTTTCTTTCCATTATGAATCCTGCACCTATGCATGCTTGCAATCATATTCAAGAACTATGCATATATTGGGGATGTGGCTAAAGAGTAGTAGAGCTGGGAACATGTTGTTTGACCTGCAATTTGAAAAGATGTATTTTGGAAAGTCTTGATAAAGCAAGGGTAAAACAATAGGTTCCTGATTTGGAATACGTGAAGTGTATCTTCTTTTGTCATCTTAATTTTTTTATTAAAGAATAAGGGAAAATTCAAGTAAATGTCAAATGGAAGATGAAATGAAAATGATAAAGATCCATAAACAGAAATAATTTTGATATCAAAGAAATAACAAAGCAAAACAATGTAACAAAGTAACGTAAATTCAGATCATAAATCAAAATAGTAATTTATTAACAGGAAGAAATAAATTTCTATTAGAAGTAATGAACAGGCTCTCATATCTGTCCGATGAGCCAGTTAATGAAGCAGTGAGTTATATGAAATATATCGAAATATAATTAAATTTCTTGCTGATTTGATTGAAAATGCTGACATTAACAAAGATAACATAGGACTTATGCCACCACAGTAAGGTATTGCCAGCAAAATAGCTAATGAGCATCATCATTTGAAAGATTATTTAGAGTCCCTTATAGAAGAAGAAAACTTGAAATACACTGAAAGTTTACAGTTCATTTAAAAGAGATTTCTCAAATTTGACAAAAATCCTAAACTTTAAATAACATTACCAGTATGAGTTGCAAAGCTGAAAAATACATTTTATACCATCCATAAAAAAAATTTGTCACCATACTAGAGGAAAGACTGAGTAGTCACGTTGTTATCTCTAGGAAAGGATACAAAATCCTTGTCATACGAAAAGAGGATCAGAATATGCAGACAACATTGTAGGTAAAGAAAGTGCCGTAGTGATGTTTCAAGCAGTGAATTAATAAAAATATTTTTTCTGGATTTTGTCTTTTGAGATGCATGTCATCTTTTCCAAATTTGTTGTGATTTCCTTTCACATTACAAACAAGCATTCTTTATATAATTTTGTATTCTAAGTTTTGATACCCCTTTTTAAACAAAGCTACAGAAATTGTATCAACTTCAGGACCCACAAAACTTTTATCTACCTCTGGGAGTCGAGAAAGAAACACATATTGGAGAGTATTAGAATCAGGGAGAATTAACTTAAATGTAATATGTATGGCTACAAACAAAGACTGAGAGGATTAGGTGATAGGAGAGCCAACAGAAGCAACACACTTTTCGTTAAATTTTGGCAGCTTTTAGCTTCTCAAATTGAAGTGTCTTTTGTGGAGGTTAGGAAGCGCTGTGGAGAGTGAAGACGAGAAAGACTTGTCTTAATGGGCAAAGATCTCTTCATACAAACAATAAATCATGGTGATTATGGCCATACTGCTAGCTATTATTAAGTGAAAAATTATGCATTTTCAATTCTGTGTATCCAAGACAAATACATATTACCAGGTGTGGTGTGCCAATACACAAAATATCTAATCCTTACGGCAAGCTGATAAATTAGCTGATAATATCCATGTTTTGTGGCTACAGAAAATATATGAAGACTAGTTGAATCATCTAAGGCCTCACAGCTAGCAAATGGCAAGATTCTGCAGTATGCATTCTTTCTCTATACCACACTGTCTCCCCAAGTGAGGTTAAGCAGATTCTGAGAAATGTATTGAAAATACGTGCACCTTCGAAGATTGCTGTTGAATTCCTGCTATCGTATGGTATTGTATTTATCGCCTTTTCCTCCATTTTATTCTTTAATACTTCAAGTGAATTTCAGTATGTTTTGTTTTGGCAATTTTATTACCTTATATGCCAGTTATGATACAAAACATGCTACTACAATAAGATGGAGGAATAGAAAGGTTAAAGCAAAAATTAGTAATTTATGTTCCCCCCACATTTACTGATTTTGTGCTAGTCTTGCTAGCAAAGCCATTCATATCACATAGCATTCCCTTTAAGTGAATTGTAATGTTTTAGTTAGTTTTTATTTGAAAATGAACACTCTTCTGGAGTTAGTATCTGATCCTGCCAGTCATTTAGACAGGAAGAAAAGAAGGTAGCAAATGATACTGCCACAACTTGAAGAGTCCCTCAAGAGAAAGGAGAAGGATCAACACTTGTATAAAACCTCTTAGACATCTGCAGGAACACACACTTGGTTTTAGGTGAAGTTGTGGTCCTTAATGTTTTTTATTATTGTAGCCAATGAGTATCACCTTAAATTGTGTTTCCCCCCCATCTGATTTTTAAAGTGCTGAATTTTATCAATTTGCCATCTTCGCTGAAGTGTCAGCGAACCAAGGAAGAATACTTCTTTGGCATTTGTGAGAAAATGGCTTAAATCTCTTTTCGGTAAAAGAGCTATAACTGTAGAGGCTGAAATTGTTTACACTAACCAGAATGTTAGAGTAGAAGGTATGGCATACACACATTATCTTTAGTAGTAAGGCTGTTACTGGGTTCTAGTTTCTGTAACTTTTTTTCAGATTTATTTATTGGGAAAAAACAACGTGAGATCTATACTCAATAAATTTTTGAGTGTACAGTACAGTATTGTTAATTATAAGCACAATGTTGTACAGCAGATCCCTACAACTTTTTCATCTTCTATGACTGAAACTTGATACCCACTGAATAGCAATTTCCATTTCCCCCTTTCTGCAGCCCCTAGCAACCACTATTCTTCTGTCTACGTCAATGAATTTGACTACTTTAGATACCTCATATAAGTGGCATCATGTAGTATTTGTCCTTCTTTACCGGTTTATTTCACTTAGCATAATGTCCTCAAGATTCATATTATAGCATGTGACAGGATTTTCTTCTTTTTTATGTATGTTAATACCACACTTTCTTTATCCATTCATCTGTCCATGGTCCTTTCGATTTTTTCCACCTCTTGGCTATTGTGAATACTACTACAATGAACATGAGCGTGCAGATGTCTCTTCAAGATACTGATGTCACTTATTTAGAATAAACACCTAGAAGTGGGATGCTGGATCATATGGCAGTTCTATTTTTAATTTTTTGAGGAACTTCCCTCCTGTTTTCCATAGAGGCTGTGTTGTTTTTCAGTCACATCAACAATGCACAAAGGTTCTGATTTCTGCACATCCTTGCCAACACTTTTTCTTTTCTGTTTTTTTGATAGTGTCCGTCGTAACAGGAGTGAAGTGATGTCTCTGTGGTTTTCATTTGCATTTCCCTGATGATTAGTGATGTTGAGAAATTTTTCACATACTTTTTGGCCACTTGTATGTATTTGGAGAAATGTCTCTTTATGTCCTTGGCCTGTTTTCTAATCAGATTTTTTATTTGCTATTGAGTTGTAGGAGTTCATTATGTAGTGTGGAAATTAGTCCCTTTACAAATATATGGTTTGCAAATATTTTCTCCATTTCATAGGTTGCTTTTTCACTCTGTTGATTTACCTTGCTGTGCAGAATCTTTCCAATCTGATGAAGTTTCACTTGCATTTTTGCTTTTTCTGTCTGTGCTTTTGATGTCATATCCAAGAAATCATTGCCAAGACTAATGTCATGAAGATTTTCCCCTATGTTTCTTCGAGGAGTTTTATAGGTTCATGTCTTTTCTTTATGCCTTTATTCCATTTTGAGTTGATTTTTGTGTATGGTATAAGATAAGTGTCCAATTTCATTCTTTTACATGTGGATATCCAGTTTTCCCAATACCATGTGTGGAAGAGAATATCTTTCCCCCTTCCGTGTCCCTGGCACCCTTGTTCAAGATCAGTTTAACCTATATCTGTGGGTGTGTTTCTGGGCTCTCTATTTTCCCTTGGTCTATATGTCTGTATCATACTGTTCTGATTACTGCATCGTTGTAATATGTTTTGAAATTACGAAGTGTGAGGCCTCCAGCTTTGTTCTTTCTCAAGACTGTTTTGGCTATTCAGGGTCCTTTGTGGTTCCACATAAATTTTAGGATTTTTTTTCTATGTCTGTTAAAAATACCATTGGGATTTTGATAGGGATTGTATTGAATCTGTAGATCGCTTTGGGTAGTATGGACATTTAACAATATTAAATCTTCCAATGCATGAATGTGGGATGTATTTCCATTTTGTATCTTTTTTAATTTCTTTCAGCAAAGTTTTGCAGTTTTCAGTGTGCGTCTTTCACCTCCTTTGTTAAGTTTATTCCTAAGTATTATATTCTTTTTGATGCTATTGTAAATGAGATTGATTCTTAATTTCTTTTTCAGATTATTCATTGTTAGTGTATAGAAATGCAATTTTTATGTTGATTTTGTGTTCTACAACTTTATTGAATTAGTTTTAACTTTTTAAATGGAATCTTTAGAGTTTTCTACATATAAGATCATGTCATCTGCAAACAGATAATTTTGCTTCTTCCTTTCCAATTTGGGTGCTTTTTATTTCTTTTTTCTTGCTAATTGTTCTGGATAGGACTTCCAGTACTATGTTGAATAGAAGTGAGAGTTGGCATCCTTGCCTTGTTCCTGAAATTAGAGGAAAAGCTTTCAGTTTTTCACCATTGAATATAATGTTATCTATGAGCTTTTCATATATGGCCTTTATTATGTTGAGGTAGTTTTATTCTCTTCCTGGTTTGTTGAGTGTTTTTATCACAAATAGGTGTTGAATTTGTTGAATGCTTTTTGTGCATTTACTGAGATGATCATGTGATTTTTATCCTTCATTCTGTATACTATATACTAGTTTTACTATTTTCTATTAATTTGGTTTTACTAAGAATGAGGATAGGTATCACTAGTGGACATGTAAATGGAAGACATAAGATGTGAAACAGGAAAAAAGTGATATAGGGAACAATATAAAAAGTGATGTACTATAGAAAAGAATACTTTTGAGCAAACCTGTCTTGATTCAATTGGTGACTCTATTGTTATACAAGTCTGGATTTGGTCAAAAAACAAAACTCTACAAATATTATGGGAATAAGATGTTTATTGGGAGACGGAGCTTGTGGTACATGGTAAAAATTGCCAGAAATTCTTCTACTCTTCTGTCTCGGCCCGCTCATGTTAACTCTGGGCTTGGCTATTTGAGTTAATAAATTCAGCCTACACTTTGTTGAAGTGGAGTTTATTCTTTGTTGTAGTATATTCCTTCAATTTATTTATATTTGTTTATGCACTATGAATGTTGAGTCTTTGTACTACAGCTAACGTGTGAATTCTTTAACCAACTTAGTTGTTAGAATAGAGAACTAGCCTTGCCACCAATAGCACTGTGTTTTGCAGTGGTGTCCAACAGCCCTCCCTCTTCCGTACAACAAAAGAAGTGGTAATATTAAAGGTAAACTAATTCATAGATGGTTCTGCAAGGCTAGAGTTAAATATACTCTAAAGGTAGTGCAGTTTCTTTGATAATACTTTGACATAGTGCTTATTAAAGATTATTTAATACTTAAGTAGCAAGAGATTTTTGGATAGAACATTATTTCAGAAGAGCTTTCCAAATGTTCTGAAGAATCATTGTACATGAAGGCTGTCCAGTAGCCCACACAAGTATATCAGAACCTCTCACTTTTGGACAATATAGCTGTACTATGTCAATTATTTCCATTAAAACTGGAGAGATTGCTTTGATTCATTAATCTACATCTTCATTTAACAGATGATATTGTGTTTGAGGCATTCTGTTAGGCTCTGTGGTAGATATAAATACAAATCAGACACAGAAAATTCCTTTAAGAATAGGGGAATGGTGTCTATGCAAAAAGTACTCTTATATAAGATAGAAAGTACCATATCATTTGCTTGAGAATAATGAGACATCAGAGGAAAGTGACAACTTACCATTGGGGAGATCTTGAATGCTTTAATGGAGAACGTGACATCTGAGCTGAGCCTTAAATATTGGAGAGAATTTATTTTTTAAGCAAGAGAAACAAAACAAGGAATTTCTAAGCAGAAAAGAGAGCATGAGTTTTAGGCAGGTAAGGCTGGAGTATGTATGGGGAATAGTAAATAATTGCATAAATCCAAACATAAGGATCTGGAAAGAAAATATGGGAGGATATAGTTTACGTTGAAATCTGAAATTTCAAGATTTTGAATTCGAATTTAAGATGTTATTGTATGGTGAGAGAAGGAGAATGAGCACTGGCACGCTGGCTCACAACACTGAGTTGTCGCTTTGGTCTCAGGAATTTTGTAAAATACGTGGGTTTCAGTTTTGAGTAAAATGAGGCAGACTGATCTAAAAAACTCTTTAAATTCCCTTCCAGATCTAAAAATATGACTGTTACTTTTACTCAGTAAGTAACTAGGAACTAATTAAAAATCCAAGAATAATAGGACCAAACCTGTGGTTAAGGAAGTCATTTAAAATGGTTTAGAAAATTTAGGAGTGGGTTGACACAGGATCAGGAATTTCACATAGTAAGAAGAGCAACGTTCTGTATAAAATGCAAGAAGACGAAGGAAGAATAAAAGAGAGGGATGGATAGATAAGATGGAAAATACAGACATAGGAATGAGAGAACATTTCACTAGTACTTTAGGATCAAAAAGGGAAATCTGATAAATATCTGTTTTAAAATGCCCATGTTCACTTTAAATATTATACTATAACGTATTGGTATTTATTATTCTTCATGATTTAAACTTTAAAAAAAAACTGTTAATGCTTTTTGTGGAAAACATGTTAAATTGTTTCTTTCTAATAGAAGTGATGATGTATTCATATTATTGTTATTGAGAAGACAGGTGTGGGATATAACTGTGGGTTTCAAACACTGAGGTACTTTTTGAAAGTCTCTGTTTTTTTGAATGCCTCATTGCCACCTTCATGATGATTATTCTCCACAAGAGTTGGAACAAATATACGAAATAGGGTAACTTAAGTGGAGTGTGTCTTACTAATAAAAATGATATAGTAGAAATATCAGTATAAATGCATATAGAGTTGCTGGATATTTTTCAGGATAGGTTAGTGTTTCTTCATTAATACTTCCTATTAGTGTGATATGATAAAAGAATTTAGCAGAAAATAAAAAATAAAATATAAATATTTCTTAAATTGTATATAATTAATCTATGTAATGGACATATAGTCTAAATTGATACCTCATATTGAAAACTTTGGGAATAAGTTTTTAAGTAGATACTGATTTTTTTTTTATCTCAGGCCAAAAAGTAATATTGACATGTGAAACTTACTATTGATTCTTACTATTAAGTTAAAAGAGTAGTCCTCGAACCACAGTCACTGGGAGGGCTTGTTAAAACATAGATTTCCGGGTAGCAATCCCAGAGTGCCTGAGTCAGTAGGTCAGGGGTGGGGCCTGAGGCTCTGCATTGCTTGCAAGATTTTTCTTTGCTGACCTTTGCCACTAAAGACATTTAAATGCAGAAAGATCATAAGATGTAATAATTTTGCCTTATTGTAGGATGTACTCATCCCCACCCCACCCCCTCATTAAGATGTAGAATAGTTCTGTCATTCTTGTATATTTTCCAGGCATTAGACATTAAGAAAACCATATGTATAATTTGGAGAACCTTCTAGGTTACCTAAAGACAAAGTTATGTCACTTATTATATGGATATTTAAAATTTTAAATATTCTTCATGGGGCTTTGCTGATTCTTGATAAATATGATAGAGTAAATCTAACCTTCAACACATAGTATTTACTGACACTGAAGATTAGTGTAAGTAGACAAAATTTTAATTCTAAATCCTTAAAACAAGTCGACATGCCAACATTGTAACATAAGGATGAGAAAGCTCAGAGGACAAATAGATGACGTGTATTTTCATGTATTTACTCTCATTCTCGCCCACTTGGAAAAGTCATTTGTTTCTTGAAAGATAAAGGGTATCTTTCCCATTTTAGTGTATTTAAAGCAATGTATTAAGAATATCATTCATTCTTATTGCTTTAATTTTTGTTGTATATTGCACCAGTAATTAGCTTGCTTTACGAAGGAAACCAATCAACATTCTGATTGACGTATTTGGTATATTTTATCTCCAGTATTTGCAATGTAGATAACATCAGTTCCATGGTATAAAGTTTTGATTTTATTAAAAATGGAAAAAAAATTATTTAAATAGAATTATACTACTTCTATAATTTTTATTTTCAATAAATAATATGGCCACATGATTTAAAATTTAAAAGTTACAAATGGGTGATATGGCCCCTTTTACCTCT